CCCCCGATGTCCCCCTGCGACAGGAGAGAGGGGTCAGGGGCTGCTCCAGGGTCACAGCCACACCCCGGGGTTGTGGGGACACTGCATGGGGTTGGGGGACATGGGGACAGTGGGATGGGGACACACAGATGGGGAGTGACACAGGGCAGGATCCATGGAGGGGAAAGGGAACGGGAGCCCCTGGACAGGGACAGGGACACGGGGATGGGGACAGGCAGGGAGCAGTGACAGGAGTGGGACAGGGGCTGGCCCGGCCTGGGCCGGGCCTGAGGGGATGCAATGGTGGAAGGGGAAGGGAAGGGCAGCATGGAGGCACGGGAGAGGGATCTGGGGATTTGGAATGGGCAGGACAGCCCTGGGACAAGGGGACAGGACAGGGACACGGGGATGGATGAGGGACATCAATCAGTGCTGGGGACACGGGGCTGGGAGGGCAGCGGGCCAGGCCCAGACAGAGCCAGGCCTTGCTGGGCTGAGGGTCCTGTGCTGGCTCTGGGGGTTCCGTGGCTGGCTCAGGGTCCCTGTGCTGCTCTGGGGGTTCCGTGGCTGGCTCAGGGTCCCTGTGCTGCTCTGGGGGTTCCGTGGCTGGCTCAGGGTCCCTGTGCTGGCTCTGGGGGCCCTGATTTTCCTGTGTGGACACCCCTAACTCTGCTGAGGGGACACCCCTGTCCCTGCTGTGGGGACACTGCTGTCCCTGCTGGTCCTTACCCGGCCCAGGCGAAGCAGTGTGCCACCGTGAGCACCCACTGGGGGTGGATCAGTGCCCCCGAGCACATGTGCCACGTGCCGTTGGCCCAGGTGGCCTGGACGCTGACGATGCCAGGCCAGGTCCCTGAGGGGACACCGGGGCCATGCTTATCCAAGGCGGTGCCATCGGAGGAGCCCAAGGTGCTGTAGTCACCGTTGGAGGGGTCGTAGTCGCGAACCACGGAGCTGTGGTCGAAGGCCAAGGGCCGCAGCCCGCAGGTGCCTCTGGAAGCACAAAGCCATCGGTGCCCTGCTCGGGGACAGCAGGGACAGGGACCCCGAGGGGCTCCTCTGTGCCCGGGCTGTGCCAGGGGAGCCCCCGAGTGTCCCCGAGCCCCCCGGGGCCACTGACCTGCAGGTGTCCCAGGTGGCCCCCGCGGGCCCGGCCAGGGCCAGCAGGACGAGCAGCCCCAGCAAAGCCATCGGTGCCAGCGCAGGTGGCAGAGCCAGAGCACAGCTGTCACCTCTGGTGGCACCACGGCCCTGGCGCTGCCCGCGGTGCCAGCGGGCCGGGGTGATGTCACAGAGCGGCGGAACCTTGGAACGCTCGGGGCCACCAGGGCCACCAGGGCCACCAGGGCCACCAGGGCCACCTCCCGTGCCACCTCCCGCCGTGCCCGGCCAGCCCCGCCGGCCCCGGGCTGGCGCCGCCTCAAATGGAGCACGAGATGGATGCAGCCATGAATAATTAATCGTTAGGGCTCTCGGTGCTTCATTAGCTGTAATTTATAATGACTAATGGTATTCTGTATTTGTTTGCCTTGGTGGTAACCTCGCTGTAGCATTACGGTGTTGATTACCACCAATATTATTACAAATTGTTATTAATACATAAAATAATGCTTATTTATAATGTAATAATATTAAAATATATTATTGGTAATAATTTGCGTTATTTATATTATGTAAACATATATATATTGTTATATTAATTATATATTAATACATTATTATACACAAATACATTAATTATATATTAATACATTACTATATTACTATATTAATATATTATTAATTAATAGTGTATATTTATGGAAATAAAGGCACCAATCCTCACTGTATGTGGAAAGAGATTTAATAGTGTTTTGTCATATTTTAACACCATATTATATTAATAATATAATATAATATAATATAATATAATATAATATAATATAATAAAAATTATATCACATTATATTATATATTATACTATATTAAATATAATATATTATATAAATATAATATAAATTATATAGTATTCTATAATCTATATTATATTAAATAGAATATAAATAAAATATACGTTACATCATATTCTATATATTA